ATTACCAAGGGAACCACCAATTGAATTGTTTAGGTTCTCAAATACCCTTAATTCCCAGAAAATGATGTGCAGAAAAGAAGACAAAAGATATGCTATCAAGAGAAAATTACACCTTATCCCTCATTTTTTAAATAATGGAAGGCCACATGTTTACAAATTTTGGATATGCATATGGATGCATGAGCTGTTTGGACCACGATAATCTAAGATAAAGTAACTATAAATTGTAAATAAGGGTAAGGGTGGAAAAGTTTACTATAAAATTTGAAATTCAATGTTAGACAATAACTTTGTGCAGATGCTATATATGTATACATAATGAAATCTTGTAACAGATTTTTTTTTAGTGTTTACCTTTGATATATTTTACATTGTGTCACAGTAAAGAAACAAAAAGCTTCAATTAAATGATGGTAAATATTTGCTTGTCAGTTAATCTTTGAAGCAACCAAAGGTAATGGCACTATTCTATGGCTGTGACCTGGACCAGCCCCCATTTTTAACAAATAATTTAGCAGTTTGTAGATAGTGTAATAATCCTGAAGACATAGCATCACTCCAGATAAAGTGAAGAGGGTCTCGTATTCAAATTTGCAAAGCCAGCATGCCTCGATTATGAAAACCCCACAAAGAATCTCAGAAGATCTTCTGGACTGGGTCAGACAGTGGCCACCTGGCTTATCTCTTTATGTAACCAAGTATGTGATTAATATATTAGAGTTTAGAAGTGGGATAAAATAAGATTCTAGGAGGCAATTTGTTTAGCAAATTATCTGATATTATATATCCCTTTAGCCTAGAAATTGACTCCTAAGAATTTACCCTAAAGAGAGAGATTCATAAGTATGAATGTATTTACCTACAAAAAAAATCCATAATAGTAAATTCTCCATCAAGGGAAATGGATCAGTAAATTATGATACATATATACAATGGGCTACTATGCTACCTTTTAAAAATGATAAAGCAGGGGCTGGGTGCGGTGGCTCAAGCCTATAACCTCAGCACTTTGGGAAGCCGAGGCGGGTGGATCACCTGAGGTCAGGAGTTCAAGACTAGCCTGGCCAACATGGTGAAACCCGGTCTTTTAAAAATAAGATAAAAATGATAAAGTAGTTCTACATTTAGCCACAAGAAAATACATTCTAATATGTTATTGAATAAAAAAGTAATGTTGAGGGCCATATTTACGTAAAATAGCCTATGTACAGAAAGATGTTTAGAATGTTATCAGCAATAGTTTCATATTTGAGCTTTACTGCATTGCTTTAATTTCTTACAATAATCATGTAATGTTTTGCATGTTATTGCCAAAAAGTTATTTCAATAAGAAATTGGAAATACCATTTACTGTATTAAAATTTGACACCTAAATGTCTAGCTTGATTATAAATGTGTCCAAGGTTCCCAGCAAACTGAAACATTATCTACTTTACAAAAATACATAAACCTATATCATTAGGATTAGGATTATAGTAATAACACAAATACTTTATCTACTCCAGTTTACATGTCTAGAAATACATGTCTTAAAGTTTCCTAAATTCATAAGGGTTTTTGTTTTCTTGTAAAAAGTTTCACTTAAGAACTGAGTACAAAGATGGTTCATTAGATCTGCCTCCAAGATATTGGATTGCTCTAATTCTTCCAAAATTGTACATTCCAAGGACTCCCTCGTCCAATCATAACTTGTTCTGCTGCTAGCTGTGAGGGCAAACAGGTGAAATAAAGTACATGGTTTATTTTAAAAGGCTTTGCATGGCTTAACACGACTTTCCTAGGATACAAGGGTGTATCAAAAGACGGGAAGATAAATAAAAGTCAAGGAAATGTGCCAAGCGGCTTTTATATAGGAATTACATTGGGTCCCAGCTGAAGTCCAAATACAAGGAAATAATAAAGTGTAGGCAACATGTGGAAATGACAACAGAAGGGAAGGTTTTCATTAAGTTCAAGCAAAGGGACAGTGTTCAAGAAAGAGCAAATCAAATAATCAAAGATCAAGAGACCATGGGCTGAAAAAGCATGAGTTCCTGTTACACTTGGGATGAAAAATGGCAACGATTTATCAAGTCTAGTGGTTAAGCATTCATTCTGTGCTCAGAACAGTGTTAGGAACTGTGCGAAAATACAAAAATGGAAGAAAAGGATCTTCCCTTCCCACCAAAAATAGAGGAAGAGAGAAAAATAAGTGTTTAACTGGGAAAAGAACTAAAAAATGTGACCAATGTTCAGGAAGAGGAGAGGTAAGTGTGGGTTGAGATGACTCTGGAGACTTCGGGGAGCTGAGGACCAAAGCTGAGGCTTGCAACTAAATGTTTATAAGACGAAACTGCAATGGCAAAGAAGAGGAGAAAGATAAACAACTTTCCCACCTTAAGGGGCATTCCTGAGAAGAAGCAGGGGTAGCGACAAACTGCAATTCGGGGTACCCTCTCCTTTGTAATTCTTCCTAACATTTGTCATCACATGTCACATAGTTAAAATACAGATTAAGGAATCTCAAAAAGTTAATAAGAAAAGGGGATATCGTAAAGCAGCAACAGTCACCCTAAGTGGTAGGAGGGACCTGAAAGAGGCTTTCAGGATTGGCAGCATGGGAAATAAGAGGACACTTCCAAGATTTCAGCCCTAACAAGGCAATGCCAGGGAGGCACATGCTATTCCCATTATAAGAGCAGGTATTCCCTTAGCCATAAGAGCAATGTTATCACACATTACATCATGCAGCCTTTAGAAAACTCCACTCTACACTTTAGAGAGAATGAAAGTTTAGAAAGCAAACAATAAATTAATATGATCATGAAAATAGTTTTGACCTCCCAGATTCCCTGAGATCTGAGTCTCCCAGAGGTCCAAGATCACACTGTGGAAAAAAGTTTTAACCTCAATTCTATGCTTCCTTTTTCCAAGACCAGACAGTGATACATTCAACGAATGACCATCACAATCTGGTTCTAAGCTCCTTTTACTGCTTCAACTCCCACAATGTCTGTAAAGTATTCCCAAACGTGCCACACCAGAACCCTCTCTCCAAAAATATGCTGTGAGTGCTCAAGTTTCTTTGCAGGTGCTTATATTGTATCTTCTGTCTAGAATTACTTCCTCCTCCTCTTAGAGATTTTAGCTTTCAGAGCTCTGCTGAAATGTGACCAACACTGGCCCCAGGCAGAATTGATCACTCTTCATTAAGAGCACCTTGCTTTTACCTCTACTTCGTTTTACTACATTCTACAGTTTCCTTGTTAGTAATGTGTCTCCCTTCCCTTCCCTTTCATTCCGCAATCCTGTAATGAGCACCTGTCCAGCAATCGTCAGCACTATGGGTAGAATCCAGATTTTCACTTAAAGAGATACTGGGGGAAAGAAACTGTAGTGTATTAATCTCTAATTCTTCATTCTTTGCACCCGAAACTTGTTCCAAACGGTTTTATTTGCTTTGTCTAATTACTGTAAAATAAGTTATCAGTGGCTGTTGGGAATGTGAATGATATTTTCTTTGTACTTGTTGGCAATACATTTTTATAATTATAAACGTAATATAGACAATGTTCATATTTCTGTACCTTAGCAGCTAATAGGAAATGCTGATGTATGTGATACACAGCTCTGTGCTTTACATACATATCAATACTTATTATTCACAGCAAGTAGAGGTGCAAATACTCATAGTGATACATCCTATATCATATACCATATGTACATCGTTCTATTGTTGCCTATAAGTTGCATGTATGTGAGTTACCTTGGCTTTGTCTTTATGCCCCAAATAAATCCAGATCTGATTTATGTCTTATTTCCTGAATTTCTCATGGACTATTGCTCATCTTATGGCCAGACAACATAGGAGCTTAACATCTACACACACTTAGCATTTTAACTTCACAGATCTCAATTAGTAGAATGCTCTCATGGAAACAAATACATCTCTCAGTGGCCACGAGGGAGTCAAATTAACTGGTTGCCTTCATAAAGTTCAGTAAAACATTTAGCAGGAAATGTTTTCCCGCAGATGGGATTCAAAATGAGTTGTTTTCTAAAGGATTTTATCTCCTAGAATAACCAGAAAAGTGTTTTAAATAGTGGCATGACACACTACTCATCACTAACAAAGGGCTTTCCACCCCTTGCACAAAATCTCAACTACTCATTTCTGTGTGGATGCAGAAGCTTCTGCAGAAGGGTAAAGAATGGATTGAGTTACTGTTTAATTGGCTGCAAGCTGGAAACTTGCTTCTGCTTGGCACCTGCTGTGCTGTTACCATCAGGCCTGAGGGGATCACTGCAGCAGGCTAACCTCTGAAGTTGCCTGCTCCCTTCATGATGCCCACAGGCTGCCCCGCACTGAGCTCACTGGCTTCACTGGCTGGGCCACCCGTCCTCTAAGAAGGGCTGTGGTCTGTGCAGTATCTCTGCTCCAGGGGAGCCCTGCTTCTTCATTGAGATGCAGGTAGTGGTCCACTAAGCCAAGGCTGCAGAGCGTCATTAAAGTAGTGGGGAGAAAACACTCCTGCTGCATACCAAGTGGCATCACGTTTAACTGAATCATTTTATTATGAATACATTCCGGGCTGCCACTGTGAGCCACTGGTGTAAAATATGCTGGCAAAATGGAACTCTGCTAATTATGTTTCATGCATATTTCAGAACTTTCCACAGGGATACAGGAAGATGGTCTTCATAAAAGGAAATTTTACAACCAGGTTCACTTGCATTTGGCTCAAGACTAGCAGATAACAAAGATACATTCAATAATATTAGAGGTTGTTTTAGCTGGAATGCTGTAATTTGTTATAATTCTATGACAGCTCCTGTGGTCACTGGCTGAAAAGAATATCGTTCAAGTCCACCTGAAAAATGCTCTTAAATCATTTCTTCCCATATTTGCAGTTACTATATTTGTCTTCCATTTTACCTAAAACTAAATTAAGTAAATGAGCCTCTGGACTTGGAGATATATTGGGAGAGTTTATATAAAAAAAAAAGCAAAACATCATTACCTGCTTCAAGATAGAGTTGTAAAGAACGCAAGTGACTGCTTTCTCATGGCTTTTCACCCTGTTGCTGGCTTCACTTTTCATTGCCAACAATGCCAGCTGGTTATTAAATGAGATGAAAAGGCGTCCATGGGCTTCATCAAAGTGAAAGAGACATCTGAACTCCTGACTTTTGGGGAAAGAACAAGCTATCCTCTGGATGGACAGCTGGTGTTGAATATCCCAGAGTCTCAAAACCTGGATGAAAAGTGATAAAATCATATCAATATGTCAAAGATAATTCCAATTTCTTAGCCAGTTTTTTTTTCTAGCTCACCCTCAATACCAGGCAGACAGTTGTTTCCTCCACAGTGCTATAATTGGTTCTCTATTCTCTCATAGCACCTATTTTGTATTCAGTCACCTGTTTATCTCCTAAATTGTCAGCTCCTCTAGGAGAGGGATTGGGTTCTATTTCAGTCTCTGGTATAAATCTTGTCATTTAGTAAACGTTTGTGGTAGACAGAATGATAGTTCCCCAAAGATGTCCGTGTCCCAATCCCTAGAAACTGTGAATCTGTTATCTTAGGTGGCAAAAGAGATTCTGAAGATATGACTAAATTCAGGACTTTGAGATGGTGAGATTTTCCTGGATTATTGGGTGAGACCAATCATAAGGGTCTTTAAATGTGAAAGAGGGAGGCAGAAAAATGATCAGAGTGATGCAATATGAGGACTTGTCCTAGTGTTGCTGGCTTTGGGAGAGGGCCATGATCCAAGGAAACTAGAAAAGACGAGGGGGGATGGATTCTCCCCCAGAGCCGTCAGAAAGGATGAGACTCATGTTGAATTCTAACCTACAGAATGCAAAATAAACTTGCATTGTTTCAAGCTACTAAGTTGTGTATATGTATTTTTGATAAAATAGAAGTGGCATTAAATGAGGTCAAGTTCATGTAATCACAGATACCAAGTTCCTATTCAAACACCTTCAAGATACATAAATGATATGCATTAACCAATGGCTAGTAGAAGGCAAACACTGAATCCTTGCTCAAGAGATAGGCTGCTTTAGATTCAACAAACATTAAAACATTATTTTTCCTTTTCTTCTATTTTCTCATGGCTCCCTTCATTTCAAAGGTGAGTCACGTTACATGTCCCAGGGAGAAAACAAAGATCAGCTTTGCAGGTGCAAGTGTTGGGGCTATCAGCAGCGGTACAGAATTAACAGGCTACTGAGGGGAGGGAGTGAAACACCTCTCCAAAAGCAGGTAGCAAGCAAGTCATCAAGACAGTGTTCACTTTAAAAAAAAAAAAAAAAAAAAAATGTTGTATAAAATCAAAAAGCACCACAGGGCTTTTATCTTAACCATATCTCTGTATCCTAGGGTCAGATTTCCTGTGTTCTAATCTCAGTTCTGTTCCTTACTAACAGTACATTTTCCTTACTTGTTAGTAAGGAACCTCCATTTTTTCCCCCCTCTGAGTTTTTAAAGTATTGCCTACCTTGCTTAATGCTATGAAAATTAACATGATGACCAGCCTGTAATGTGTTCAGTGAATGTTACTTATTACCTCTTATTTTTTCATCATATAAATATTAGAACCTAAAAGCAGAAAATGTTATTTCAAGTAAACTAGTCTATCCAACATGAGATTTCTCAATTATCTATAGAAGATAGTTTGTTTAAATGAGTGCTTATTACCCCATAAGATGGGCAATCTTATAGTTATTAATGTATTTTAAATAATATGCTCTTTGGGGAAAAAAAATCTATTAAATGATGGTTCTGTCCAAACTCATCAAATGCATTTATCCATATATACATAAAACTTATAGTTTATTTGGGTACATAGACACACCTCACAAACCTAACACCTTAGGAATCTACAAGATGGGAATCCCTACAGTAATTATTAAATATGTTCAGACAAAGAGGTCTTCTACCTTTTGTTTCTATCCTACCCTCTTCTCACACCTGCATAAGCTTCCTCTTACCCCTCTTCTCCAGGTTAAGTGATGCCAATTCCCTCAACCATTTTAATATCAGTTTTCAGATCTCACCACCAGCTACCATGTGGCCTCTTTATTCTCAGTGTCTGTGTTTCCACTTTCTCTCTAGGGGAGGAGAGTCATCCAGACCTTGTTTATTTTTGAAACCATAGTAATATGTGTCCATTGCATAAAGTCAAATAGCACCAGAAGCCTTTTTTTTTTTTTTTTTTTTTGAGACGGAGTTTCTCTCTTGTTCCGCAGGCTGGAGTGCAATGGCGCGATCTCGGCTCACCGCAACCTCCGCCTCCTGGGTCCAGGCAATTCTCCTGCCTCAGCCTCCCGAGTAGCTGGGATTACAGGCATGCGCCACCATGCCCAGCTAATTTTTTGTAGTTTTAGTAGAGACGGGGTTTTCACCATGTTGACCAGGATGGTCTCGATCTCTTGACCTCGTGATCCACCCGCCTCGGCCTCCCAAAGTGCTGGGATTACAGGCTTGAGCCACCGCAGAAGGCTTTTAACTCAACCCATATATTCTACCCCAAGTCCTAATCCTTAGAGATGGCCTTTTTTCACTCTTTTTTGGGGTTATGACTTTCTCCATAATGTAACAATGATATCATTGTGCACACATGTATGTATATGTGTGTAGTATACACATGTTATATAATCATAGCTACTGACTCAGAAGAGAAAAATTGCTTCTATTCCTTTTCTCCCTTTCTCCTCTGATTTCTCCCAAGTTAGCATTTTAATGTTTAGTCCTATTGGTTTTTATAATTTTAAATGTTTATATGTCAATTATTGACCCACTAATTTAACACTATCTCTAAGCACCTAAAAATCTTTAAAGATTTGCTTTAAGCAAGTTACCCAGAATTGAGCCAATACAATATTTCCAGTGTGTTCTAATCATTACAGGTGCTATGATTTCTTTAAGCAGCCTATTTTTGCATTAGCTGATTAAGCCTCTCCATCATGCTTTTCACTTGTCTTAATTGAGCAAAATTCTACATGTTATTCCATGAACAAATAACCATACCAGATGTCCACTATCCTGTTTCAAAAATATATTTTTAATTAAGACTAATTTTCCTATTTTTGAGAGTTTCAAGTGACAGTATTATTTTGAATCCTTGTTTAATTACATTGACAATTCCTCCCTGATTTCTCCACATACCCCATAGGACATTGATATGGCTCGGCTTCGTGCCATTGTGTCACCACCCAAATTTCATCTTGAATTGTAATACACAGGTGTTGAGGGAGAAAGCTGGTAGGAGGTGATTGGATCATGGTGGCGACTTTTCCCATGCTGTTCTTGTGATAGTGAGTTTTTATGAGATCTGATGGTTTTGTAAGCATCTGGCATTTCCCCTGCTTGCACCTCTCTCCTGCTGCCGTGTGAAGAAGGTCCCAGATTCCCCTTCACTTTCTGCCATGATTGTATGTTCCTGAGGCCTCCTCCACTGTGCAGAACTGAGTCAATTCCTCACAGTTCCTTTTTAAATTCCTTTGTAAATTATACACGCTCTGGGGTAATTTTTTATAGCAGTGTAAAAATGGGCTAATACAAACATAGCGTTCAATTTTGAATTAAAGATTCTGGCTCACTATATACCCAGATCATTGACAAAAAGATCAACCAGGATAGGCCCAAGAATACAACACTCCCACAGAAAAATCTGCCTCACTTCTACATATTTATTTACCTAATTGAAGATCTCATATAATTCACAGTGAAATTTTATGGGACTTTTTCAAATATCTTGCAGAAATAATTGTTTTTAGCATCGGGTAATGTCTCCATTTACTCTAACGACCAGCCCTTATAACAAGCTTGAACTAACCTAGTCAGTCACTACTTGTTAAATCACATCACCAATCCGACTAACCCTAAGAATTTAGATTCATAGAGAAAATTGGGCTTCCTTGGCAAGGATTTTTATTAAATAACTCATTCTGGTTTTTAAGCATCACTAAAAAAAAATTTTTTTTATTTAAAACATTCTGGCAGCTCTCCAGGAAATGTTTATCTTAAAAATATAAATTGTGTTGTAAATGTAAATAGAATTGATAAGCTCTTATTTTGAATGTTATAAATTTATATACATCTAGATCACTTTCAAATACTTACTAATGATAGTCATGTCTTCATTCAAAATCCTGTCTTGTTTAGTATGGACTCCTTCTAAGAAATAGAAACTAACTTCATTTCAGAATAATATAAGGTATAATTGAGTACACATTGGCAATAACTTCGCAGTATTAATGAACTATAATTTCTCCAGAATCATTTTCCATTGTGTTAAGTAATTTATATTGGATCTGATATTTTACCAACATTTAGTCACATAAATTATAACAGGTGAGCTATAACCTATCTAGTCTACAACAGATTACTTCTTGTTAGCAATTAAAACTAGAAATATTTTTATTAGAATGGGTATATTCATTAATTTTTTATATTAATGTTTACTGTTCTTCCTCTGGAGAATCCTAAACTCTCTCAATGATCCCACTAAGTTCTTCCATCTTTAATTCTCTAATTTTGCTTTCTGCCGAGAATTAAGCAACAGCATTGAAGTACAGCCATTAAGGCATAAAATGGGTGATGGTATATGACCTCGCATACATTCTTAATTTTCCCTACTAGCGTTTTTTAAACTTGACTTTAGAAACACCTGTGATGCTCTCAAAATCTCCTATGCTTTGGCTCTTTCCCAGACCAATTAAATCAGAATCTCTGAAGACGGGGCTTGGACATCAGTGTTTTTCATATTTTTTCCCAGTATTTCCTTTGTATATACCTAACTTCTCTGTTTTAAGGTCAATGATAATCTCCTTGAAAAAGAAATCTTTCTCTCAGATTAATTTAGTAATATCACATAGCATGGCTTTAAACTAGATAATTGTATTCCCCTTCTTTTTAAATCAGTCTATAACCTTTTAATCATAAAAAACTTCACATTAATTCAGTTTTATTAATCAAGTCCTTTGACAAAAATGTCACTTAAATAATTATTTGAGAATCCTGTGTTCTCATCTTCTATATTAAAGTTGATTCCTGGAATAGAATTAAGCCACAGTTCAGAAAGGAGTATATTTAATTTCAATTTTCATTTCAGATATCCTAGAGAGGTTTTCTTTATTCCAAGCAGGAAAAAAAAATACATTGACAAACTTTTAAGCTTAAAAATTACAATAGAATAATTTTTAATTGTTTATATCATCCACAAAGTTTTATTTAAGTTGTGCT